ACGTAGCTCGCGGTACTCACGGCATCCGCCCAAAAATACTTAGGGATTTTTGCCTCATTGATCATAGTTCTAGCCATCTCTTCGAGACATCTATTTTTACGTTCCACCACTCCATTTTGTTGTGGTGTACGTGGGGCTGAGAAGTTATGATCAATGCCAAGTTCGTCACACAAATCTGAGAACAAATTTCGTTCGAACTCTCCCCCATGGTCGCTTCTTATGGCTACTATGGTTGTCTCTTTTTCATTTTGAACTTTCTTTAAGAAATTTTTGAAAACGTGAAATGCCTCACTTTTATGAGTTAGAAACAAGGTCCATGTAAACCTAGAGTAGTCATCGACAATCACAAATGCAAAGTAATTGCCACCAAAACTCTTCGTTCTAGAAGGACCAAAGAGATCCATGTGCAAAAGTTGAAGCGGTCTAGACGTTGAAACAACGTTTTTAGACATAAACGAAGCCCGAACTTGCTTCCCCTTTTGACATGCATCACATATGGTGTCTTTTTCAAACTTAAGTTTTGGGATGCCAATTACTAAGTTTTGTGAAACCAGTTTGTTCAAAAGGTTCATGTTCATATGAGCTACCCTTCGGTGCCATAGCCAAGTGTCTTCCTCTTTACTCATGAGACACTTAGCAAAGTCGGAAGGAGATTTTTCTAAGTTAACCATATAAATGTTATCGATTCTATCACCACGTAGAATGACCTTATTGTCAATAAGGCGTTCTACAGTGCATGATTTTGAATCGAAAGTTACACGATTTCCCTTGTCAGATAATTGACTTATGCTCAAGAGATTGTGTTTTAGACCTTTGACTAGCAAGACATTATCTATAGAGGAGTCTTCGGACTTACCTACTGAACCGACTCCAATAATTTTTCCCTTGCTATTATCTCCGAAAACTACGTTTCCTCCTTTAGCGGGTTTGATTTGTAGGAACTTGGATGCATCTCCAGTCATGTGCTTGGAGCATCCGCTGTCAAGATACCAAAGTACACTTGACGCCTTCAAGCACACCTACAAAAATGATTTAATAAGATTTAGGTACCCAAGTCTTTTTGGGTCCTTGAGTGTTAGGTGCAAAGTGGTAGTGTGATTCATTTTGTGCCCAATGCCTATGCCTGGTAAAGCAAACGGGAGCTATATGTCCTACCCTGTTGCAATAGTGACAAACTACATTTGGGTTGTGCATCCTCCTAGGTTGATAATAGTTGCTAGGGGGCCTAACCATATTCATCCTATTTTGAGAGAATATTGGTTTTTGAAAATTCTCTCTTCTAGGTGTCCTAGCATTATTTTGTCTATTTGAAAAATTATTTTTGTGCATAAAATTATTTTGATAATTTTTCTTAGGTTGTCTAGCATGCACATTTTCATTCCTAGGTTTTTGTCTAGGTTGTCTAGTGTCCTTAGGTTGACTAGATCTTCTATTATCCTGATTTTTAACTTTCTTGTGTTGAGCCTTAGTAGGTTGTCTAGGTGTATGCTCAACGTTTTTATTCTTAGATTCATTTTTATCAAAACCTATTCCTTCCTTAGAAAAATGCATAGTGTCTAGGAGTAAATTGAGATCCTTGTGTGGTGTATTTAACTTCTTAACTGTACTCTCAAGTTTTGCAACTTTTTCTTTTAAAGCTTTGCAAGATTCACATTCTCTTGAAGAGCTTTCCAGTTTGTCAGCACTTCTTTTACCATAAAATTTATTTTCTTGTTTTAACTTTTCATTATCTTTTTCCAGCTTTTCAAAATCATTTTCAAGAGTTGAAAGACGTTTCTTTAATGATTTGTTGGTTTTAGAAGCGCTAACAAATTCATCATAAAGTTCTTGAAGAGCTTCTTGCATTTCTTCAAAAATATAAGAGTCGGAAGAAGGGGTACATACCTCTTATACTTCGTTGACGTGGTCTTCGTGTGCCATGAGACAGAGGTTGGCGGCTTCTTCCTCTTCTTGATCCGTTGACTCCTCCCCGGAGTCGCCACCCCATGAGATGTAGGCGCGTTGCTTTTTGAAGCCAGGTTTGTCCTTGCCGCTTTTACCGTTTGGACACCTCGGCTTGATGTGGCCTATCTCACCACAGCCATAGCACTTCGGGGGACCGTCGTGCTTTCTTCCTTTGCGCTCAAATTCCTTCTTCATAAATTTGTGGAATTTCTTGATGACGAGTCCGAACTCGTTGTCATCATCGCTTGAGTCTTCTTCCACGGTCTCCTTGGTTGCTTTCAGTGTTATTCCCTTCTTCTTTTGTTCATCCAAAGACGGAGTTAGAATAGTAGATTCATAAGTTTTGAGGTTACCTCTTAGCCCGTCGATGGTGACATTGGAGACTCCGATGGATTCGTAGATTGCGTCAGCCTTTGATCTCCATTCGGGTGTGAGACTACGCAGGATTTTCCTCACAAGGTCTTTGTTGGCGTACGTCTTCTTGAGAGCGTGAAGGTCGTTGATGATCTTTGAGAACCGATCGAACATGTCATCGATCTTTTCGCCTTCCTTCATCCTGAACATCTCGTACTCCTGCGTTAAGAAGTCAATTTTGGCTTCCCGAACTTGGTCCGTACCTTCATATGTGACTTCCAGCTTGTCCCACATTTCTTTTGCAGTGGTGCAGCAAGAGATCTTGCGATAATCATCAGGATTGACCGCACAGTACAGCATGTTGATTGCCTTGGCGTAGTTCTCCACCTTCTTGATGTCTTCGGCATCAAATTCGTCTTCGGTCTTTGGGACAAGTTTTTCATTTACATTCTTCATTGGCGTTTCTTCGCCGTTTTTGATGACCAACCACAACTGGAAGTTGGTTGAGCGGATATAAATTCTCATCCGCTCTTTCCAATATGTGTAGTTGGTGCCATCAAAAAGCGGTGGCCTAGATGTTGATTGACCTTCTCCAATTCCTGCATAAAGATTTCTAGAAGAAGAACCCATGATCGCTTTACTCTCAAAAGGTTAAGTTTAGACGCGAGTTAGGCTCCGATACCAATTGTTAGAATAAAAGACCAACGCTAGAGGGGGGTGAATAGCGTTTGATTGTAGAAATCGCAGGAATTAAAAACTTAAAAGAGAAGTAAAGAGAAGAGTAAGAGGCACACCGAATTTTACCCTGGTTCACCACAACTTGTGGCTAATCCAGCCTCCCGAGAGACTCTCTCGAGCTACACTACTATCTCGTTAACCTTGCGGGTGCTTAACAAACCGTTACAACTTGAGAGTTCGAGTTACACGAACCTCAACGAGTCCTTCAAAGGAAACAACCCTTCCTTTGAATCTACTGAGAGAAATACATTCTCTCAAAGTGTCTAAGAACACGAATACACTCAAGAACGAGGCTCTCTTATAGAGTAGATTATGAGTAAACTAAGTACACTCAAGAACAACTCAAACATCACAAATTGGCTCTTGAAAGCTATGAAAAATGATGTTGTTTTAATGCAATGATGATATGAATATTGTGAAGTGAATTGATGAGAAAAGCAGACCCAAACACCCCCTTTTATAGTGCCAAAATAGGCTCCAACGGACCAATGCATTAAAGGGGTGATTGGCTTGATTTAAGGGATTGAATAAATTTGGGATCTGCAGGATATTGGCTTCCCATCGATGTTTGGAACTTACCCATCGATGGTAAGCCAATTTTCCTTCAGTTTTTGAAGCCAACGGTTATCTACCCATCGATGGGTACAAGCTTCCCATCGCTGGGTTCCCATCGATGGGTAAAGCTTCCCATCGCTGGGTAAGGGCATTCTACCTTGTGATAATGTTGGACCAAGGCTTGAACAGCGATGGGTAGAGCTTCCCATCGCTGTTTGGCATGGTTCTAGAAGTTGGTTTGGCTAAGGGGCTACTTACTCATCGATGGGATGTTCTTCCCATTGCTGGGTGGGTGGTTAGCCAAAAACCTGTGGTTTTTGCCTTAACCACGGCCTAGCCAACCGATGCAAAAACCGACCGAAAAATCCAAGGTTTTCCAAAATAAAAACAAAGTGTTTAAAACACTTATTTGATGTATTTGGCTAAGAAATCAAGTGAGAAACTTTAAAAATCACTTCATTTGATTAAAAACCACGGCTAGCCAAGTTTACGCCGTTTTGCGTGGTTTTTGTCAAACGACTAAAAACGAGAGATGGTTTTCAAAGTGTTTTTGTTGGAGAACCGTTTAAACATGCCAAAGAGTGAAAGCAGATCATAAAATGCTGAAAAACACTTGGTTGGTTTGGATGCCAAAAACCAAACCCGACAACCGAAAGCCGAACGCTGGTTTCTTAAAGCTGAACACTGGATGGCTTGGTTTTTGGTTTGGGCAAACACCAAGTGTTTTTAATGACTTAAACAAGTTTGAAAAGCATTTTTATGATGTAAGAAATGCAATGAGAGATTTTAGCCTAAAGAGCCAAGGTGTAAAGATTGGGTCGGTCTTGATCACAATAAAGACCGACTCAATACTATGATTAAGGTCTTCGTTCTTGGTCTTCGTTTAGCTCTTGCTCTTATCTTCGTTCTTCGCCTTGTATATTCAATGTTCGACTTGATCATGGCGGTTTGGCATTATCAAAACCCTGTTACAAGAACGAACACGGCTTTAGTACGAAAATGTGACAAGCCCGTGTTTCAACAGCTTTCCCTTCCTACCGAAACGTAGCACTTTCTTCCACGGTGAGACTTTCAGAAACACCTTGTCATCAACATTATATTCGATCTCCCGACGTTTTAAGTCGGCATAAGATTTCTGTCGATCGGAAGCCACCTGCAATCTTTCTCTGATTAGACGAACCTTCTCTTCAGTTTCGCGAACGAGATCAGGTCCTTCAAGCTTTTGCTCGCTTAATTCTGTCCAGCATACTAGGGTTCTACAGCGTCTCCCATACAAGGCTTCGTACGGGGCCATTTGGATACTCGCTTGATAACTGTTGTTATACGCGAACTGCATTAGCGGTAAGTATTGTTCCCAGTTGCTTCCAAAATTAATTACACATGCTCTCATCATATCTTCAAGAATTTGAATTGTCCTTTCAGATTGTCCGTCAGTTTGAGGATGAAATGCCGTACTAAAGTTAAGTTTAGTACCTAAGGCTTTCTGCAAACTCTTCCAGAATTGCGATGTGAATCGCGGGTCACGATCAGAAATGATAGACAAAGGTACACCATGTAATTTTACAATCTCACGGATGTACAACTCTGCCAACTTCTTCAAGGACATATCACGTCGAATTGGGATAAAATGATGCAATAGGAGATTTATTACTGGATGTAGCAAGACTCAACTAGCATCATGGTTGTATTTACTCAACTGGTAAGGGACCTCTTGCTACATCCAGTAATAAATCTCCTATTGCATCTTTGTGTTTCTCAGCCTGATGAGAATGAAGTTTAGGCATTAGCGTTTGATTGTATTTACTCTTTAAAGTGTGATAATATTAACATTAATCTATTAAATATATTTACATGCTCTTCAAACCACTTTGTTAAATTCTTGTCACCCGCCTCGATATAGAATCTTGTGTAATGCTTGGATTTGCCTTTGTAATCTCTTCTATATACATCCTGTTACATGAAAACTTCCAAAAGAATGATAATATATTCTTTATGGAAAGTTTATAAGAAATTATACTATTTAAAAATTCTAATCTTACTCAAAATAAGGATCAATCTCTGGACAATTAAGTAGGATGTATAGATGTGCGGCTTTAACCTACTCCGGACTTAGATGAATTTTGCGCATCTTTCCCTGTAGCCGACCCCCACTTTCAAAAATGGGAATATTGTGTGTGGTACATTCTTCACTTTCATATTCATCATCATTGCGTGGCACAGAATGCAATCGAGTGTACACATGTCCTTCAAAATAATGAGAACAAAAGAATGAAGCTTCTCAAACTAAATACGCGTTGGCAATTGAACCTTATACGCGTGCCTTATTTTTCACCATTCTCTTTAGACGATTCAAGTGCCTAAATAATTTACAAAGTTCACATTAATGCGAGTACAAATCTTTAATTTAGCCAGCTAGAAAAGATGAATACCTCTCGAATGGATACATCCATCGATACTGTACAGGACCTCCTATTCACGCCTCATATGGCAAGTGAATGGGGAGATGTTCCACACTATTGAAGAATCCCGGCGGAAATATTTTCTCCAACTTGCAAATTATGATAGGAATGTCTTCCTCAAGCCTTTTAAGATCATCTACAGAAGCGTTTTTGCTCGTCAAAGTTTTAAAGAAGTTACTTAGTTCTGCAATCACTTCCCAAACCACCTTTGGTAAAAGCTCTTTGGATCCAATAGGTATTATTCTTTGCATGAACACGTGACAATCATGACTTTTCATTCCGAACATCCTAAGCTTTGTTGGGTCAACACATCTACCCAAATTTGAAACGTAACCATCTGGAAATTTTAACTCTTTCACCCAATCTAGAAATGCCTTACGCTGTATCTTATCGAGTGTGTAACACGCTTTTGGGTATTTTCCTGTACTAGGATCACGTTCCAACTCTTTTCTTGCGCAAAAAATTTTCATATCTTCTCTCGCCTTTAGATTGTCCTTTGTCTTACCTTGCACGTCCATTATAGTGTTGAAAAGGTTCTCAAAAACATTCTTTTCAATGTGCATTACGTCAAGATTGTGGCGGATCATCTTACTACTCCAATACGGAAAATCCCAAAAGATGCTACGTTTCCTCCAGCCACACGAAGTTGACTTAAAAATGTCAGTGTAACGAATATCTGCATTTTCATCAAAAATCTTTCGTAGCCCTAAAAGATCAATCTCATGTAGTATCTCATCCCCACTTTTGTAGATAGGTGCCGATTCTATCTCAACTCGTTTTTTGATGAAATTTTTCTTATCTTTACGAAACGGGTGATCAGTCGGAAGAAATCGTCGATGTGAGTCAAACCAAGATTGTTTGCTACCATTAGGCAATCTAAAAGACTCAAGCTGATCCATGCAAACAGGACATGCTTTTTTTCCAGATGTGCTCCAACCAGACATCATTGCATACGCAGGAAGATCACCAATTGTCCACATCAAAGCTGCGCGCATTCTAAAATTTTGTTTTATAGACACATAAAATGTATCCACACCTTCACACCAGAGCGCTTTTAATTCTGCAATCAACGGCAGCAAGTATACATCAATCTTTTGCTTCGGATTAGACCTACCCGGAACAATTAATGAGACGAATATATGTTCCTCTTTCATGCACATATTTGGAGGAAGATTGTATGGGGTGATCATAACTGGCCAGCAAGAGTATTGAGAGCCTGATTGCCCGAATGGCTGAAACCCATCAGTGCACAAACCCAAACGAACATTGCGAACTTCAGAAGCAAAAGAAGGATGTTTTTCATCAAATGCTTTCCATGCTTCAGAATCACAAGGGTGACACATTTCATCTGTGTTTGAGTGTTTATGTTCAGCATGCCAACGCATTAACTTGGCGGTGCGCTCTGATGTATATAAGCGTTTCAAACTCGGTGTTAAGGGAAAGTAAAACATCTGCCTGTGCGGGACTTTAGCCTTCTCATCTTTATATCGCGGCTTCTTGCAAACCTTGCACTCAGTGAGACTTTCATCATCTCCCCAAAATAACATGCAACCAAGAATGCAACAATGTATCTTCTGAACGGGAAGGCCCAACCCGTCTATTAGCTTCTTTGTTTGGTAAAAGCTTTCAACCATTGTGTTATCCTCAGGAAGAGCATCTTTAAATAATTGACAAATTGTATCGTAACACCTTTCTGAGAGATTATGTTCAGATTTAATGTTGAGTAGTCGTGCAGTTGCTGACAACTGAGACATCTTGGAGCACCCCGACCACAAATCCTTATCCGCAGCTTTTAACATCTGAAAGAATTTTTTATCTTCCGGATTTGGTTCTTCCTCGACATGTACGTTTGCACCAAAAGGGCGTGCAGCATCGTACATGTTGGGAAAAATATTATAGATTTTGATGATGATGTATTTAGAATGTAATAGGGACTTTAGGTCTCCCCAAATATTCAATGTAATTTTTCTTTTTAGAAATATTGTTAAAACCGAGTTCTTGAGATTTCCAATAAAGTTGTGATATTTCTTTAAGCGGTTTGATGCCTGAAGACTTAATCAAATTCAGTAATTTGGAAATTGGATATCTTGATCGGAAATGTCAGAGACAAGTAAGGATTTCTTAAAGCAGACGAAAATCCTCTAATCCGGAAGACTACATAAGAACCGGATGTCTCGCTACAACCCGCTGAAGGCTAAGTCGGAAGACTAGCGCGGATTTCTTTCTCACCCGGAAAACTGAGTATGACTCTTCCGGATTTGTCAGCTAAGAACCGGATGCCTCAAGAAAGACCGGAATTCTCAAAAAGCGGACAAGTGAGAAAAGACTTAAAAAATTATCTAAGTCTTGAATGAAGAAATTCTACCCGTTGGTAAGGAAAAATCAATCTCTTGATTTTCAACGGCTAGATTGAAAATAATTATGTTGATTCAAGAACAAATGACTCGAAGACAAAGTCTGGACCTCTAAAAATTGAAGAGCCTGTCCAGAATTCCTAAACAAGCACTAGAAGACAAACAGAGTAAAGTGCTACAGTCCAGAATTCTTGAACAACAGCTAGAAGACGGATTCTGTGGAAAAAGGAATCCCTCCTTAAACAATTGGGTATGTCCAAACACCCATTCCAATGTGGAATCTTCAAATCACAATCTTCATTCAAAATTTAAGCCAGCAAATGCAACGGATAGTCTATTTTGATTCAACGGATAGATTATCCAATCCAGCTATAAATAGCATCCTTGGAAGACTGGAGAAGATAACTACGACAACGATAAGATAAACAACCACAACAAAGCTACCTCATTCACAGTTAGCCCAAAAAGCTTGATAAAGAGAGATTTCTAAACTCCTTATCCAAAAGCAAACTTCTCCTCCTTCCAAAGAGGTATAGTGTAAATACTTGAAGGTTTCCTTGCCTCAAGTACCACACCACGTTGAAGGATACAACTTTTGATCAAACTTATTGATTGAAAGGGGGTAGGTCAACTTTCTTACAAGTTGGTCTTGCAAGTCCTATTGTTCGGACCTTGCAGTTGTTGAAGAAGCGTGACCTTCGAAGGAACAACAAAGCCAACACGAGTGCAGTAGCAACATTAGCCTTGCGAAGATATACCGTGCAGAAATTCACACAAGTGTAATTGTTGGTTCATTATTCAACAATCAACTACATAGTGGATTTTGAGGACGTAGAAGGATTACTCCACCTTCGAACCTCGTTAAAGTTTGCGTGTCTCTCTCTTTTATCTTTATTCTTACATACAATTATATTAACTGTGAAAACTAACCCATCCATATTGATTACTGCTCACTCTACCCACCAAATTCCGCACACAATCTAAAGTTCACAAGAACTCTAGATTAACACTCATTTTCACGTTTTCAAAAGAAACGAAAAAGTTTTAAATTTGTAACAAAGTCTATTCACCCCCCCTCTAGACTTTGTATCTCACCACTTTGGGACCACCAGTACACCATATCAATATATTGGTCTCTTTCTGCGGCTCTAGTCACATGTGTGCTATCCTCATGTCGTTCAAGTCGTCGTCGTTTTGGAGGAACATAATCACCGTGCTTTTCTTCGTGACAAACCCAATCATAATAATTTGGAGTGAAACCAAATCGCAGGATATGCTCTATTATGGTTGCATTCCTTCCAAATTTTAAATTCTTACATGACTTGCACGGACAACGCATGTTATTCTTAGACCGATCGGCATTGGGATTCGAGGAACAAATATCCACAAACTTCATGACATTGTCAACCCATTCTTTACTAACTACACCTTCAGATTCAAACTTATTATACATCCATTCACGATCACCAAATCCAGACATTGTAGCAAAAATCGACACTGTTTAATACAAAACAATCACAAATTCAACAATGCAAAAAGTACCGCTTACGATAACCAAAATTTTAAGAGATAAGTTAAAGAAGTTTTTAATAACAAAAACTTAAAACTAATCCTAGAATCATATGAAATAAACAATTTTCTAGAATCATATAAAATAAAATCTTAGAATCAAATTAAAATTTCTTATGATAAGCTTATATAATTACCAAAAAATAGCATAGAAAAAAACATATGATAAATTTCATAAAATAAAATTAATCCACTTTAACTATCAAATTTAACAAAAAATTTTAGCAAAGATAATACAAACTATAAACACAATACTTTTTTAATAATTTACACTAAATCAAATCATCATTATCATGCAATCTCAAAAAAAAATGATTTAAGTAAATTTCACACTTCAAATCTTGAGAGAAAGAATTAGGGTTTAACCTTGGGTTTGGGCCGGCGGACGGCGGTTGGGAGGGTGGTGGGTCGACGGTCAATGATGATGTAGCGGCGAAGGAGTGGAGGTCGGCGCTCGATGACGGCTGGAGGCGAGGACGAACGGCGATTGGGTTCTGCGGTTCTGCTTCGAAGTTGAACCAAATGAAACGAGATAAGGTTTTAATTTAACTTCTGCGACGGAAATCCTTCCGTCGCAACAACTGTCGCAAATATAGATTTTAAAAAATTGACGCAGATTCTGTCAAATCCTTCCGTCGCAGATTCCGTCAAATTTTAAAATTCATTGTTTTTGTTGCGAAATCTGTCGCAATTTGTGACGGAATTAATCCGTTGCAGATATTCCGTCGCAAATAGAACCGATATATATATATATATATATATATATATATATATATATATATATATATATATATATATATATATATATATATATATATATATATAGGTTTTGGTGAGAATGCGATCTTGGGAGAGAAATGAGAATGAATCTGGTGCTTTAGATTTTGAGATCTAAGGGTTAGGATTGTATCAAAATTAGATGCACCAAAATCGTTTGAAAATGCATCACGTTGAAATGCACCAAAATCCTTTAAGAATGCATTATCTCAAAATCTGAGCGCAGTATGCAATCTCAGCCACACGATACATCAGATCCAACGGCTAGATTTTATTCTCATTTATCTCCACAAGGTGCATTTTCATAGGAACTGGCCCCTATACAGATTTTAGTATTTAGACACACACACATAAACCATGTTTCAACAACAATACTCAAGCAAACTACTATTGTATTAAAATTATTTATATTACTAAGGTAGAATTCAACAAATTAACATAACACGAAAATCTGAAACATATGATTTTTAATAGATATATTTTATAAAATCTAATTTGTGTAAAATGAAAATGTTTTAATGTTTTTAGATATAATATAAGAAGTACCGTAAGTTAAAGTATTCAAAATCTATGTTGGTCCATCATATAAGTTATTAAGTATAATTATTAAAATATTCGTTTAGGATTCATTAAGTATTCGAATATTAATCTAATACAAATTCAAATCTTATTTTTAATTCGTCTCATATTCGAATTCGGATTCGTATGTGAAAAAATTAAACAAATACAAATTTAAACATCTATGACTTGTATTAATGTATTATGTTTTTTACAATCCTAGCTTACTGTATCAGGATATTTAATGGCATCCTCGGCCTCGTTGAAAGTTATTTCCTTCTTCCGATTTCAATCTTGGAACCCCTGCTCTTTCGTTAGATTCTCCTTCCTTAATTATGGCCAAGTTGTTTTCCGATCTGTATGGACAAGTTGAATTCCAATCTGTATTTCGATCTGTATGGACAAGTTATTTTCCGATTCAATCAACAACAACAACAAGAAGAATAGTCTCCTGCTCTGTTGCCTTGTCATTCCATTAATTGAATTTCAGCTCTTCAGCTTCTTATTTTGCTTCTTACCTTTCTTTCAGGATTTTTTCACCATGGGTAAAAGTAAGCCCTCTTATGTTTCGATATGTGTACTATGCGTCTCTCCACTTTTTGATTTTGCATTCATATCAGAGATATAAGTTATATATGTTGTTGCATGGATTCCCAACTTACTAGTTTGTGTTAATTGTGTTTTGAAGCACTCCAGTCCTCCTGAAAGAGAGTTCTATTTGACAAAAAACTACTGAATTGTGCCCTACCGAAAAAATTGCATTATGAAATATTACTAATTTATTGGGACAGAGGTAGTATTTTTTTAACGAGGACAGAGGTAGAAATTGATTTTTGCTAAATAGAATATTTTTTGTCAACATGTATAATAAGCAAAGATTGTTTTCTTTGTAAATTTATGGGCTTCTTCAACCGAATTGCTATGTTCTTGTACGGAGTATTTTATTAAGAATGTTGCTAATGGATTTTTGGAATTAATTAAGTGGTCTTTTTTGGTGAATGAAATTCTAGGGAGTTCACAACGAAAAAATGCTGCCATGTTAGATAGCGATGAGACAAGTAGTTTTAGTTCATCATCATCAACGGCTCAATCAGATATGTTAATGTGTAGTGGCGAGGAAGTTCAGATAGACAAAGAAACATTTCTTGATCAATGTTTGGATTCCCTTTACGAGAAACGGTATAATAATTATTTCCATTCTTGTTAAGATAAAATATATTATTGAGAATATGCAATCGGTGTTTTCCCTAGCTCCTATTGAATTAACTACTAAGCAACCCTCCAAGGGGGATGAGAACATTGATAACTTTGAATACTGGTTTCATTACTTTGAATAGAATCCTTAGTTGATTTTATGTGAATATTTTTGTGGGCCTCTTATTTTTTGTGCTCAAGTGTGTCTTCAATTCTCATTCTTGTGTGTGTGTGTGTGTTGTTAGGGGATCTACTAGAGAAAAGGCATTGACATCAATGATTGAAGCTTTCAATAGCATTGTGCACCATGAATATGTTGAAAAGAAGTAAGTTAATGTTTTGCATTCTTTGCTTAACTATATCGTATTGTTGTTTTAACCTTTCAATATTTGCGCCATGGCCTATCTTGGGACCCTAATAGGGTGTAGGGGTGATTTGTGGTTTCTTTTTAGGAGTCACCCTCTGGGATTTATTAATGTGCATTAGCTAACCTCTATCAATTATGTGAAGGTCTTAGGGCCCGTTTGGTGAGAAAAAAATATGGGTTTCAATATCTTGGATATGAAGTTTCTAAAATATGTGTTTGGGGAACATAAAAAAGAATTCAACATTCAAATCTTGAGATATGGAATTTCTCCCAAAAGATTGTCTCCATATTTCACTTATTTTGCTGAGAACAAAATGCCGATTTCAACCCTTCATGCACGCTACATCTCCTTAATCAAACGATTAGATTGCTTTCACTCAATTTTTTTTAGTCTTCTCTTTTGTTCATTTTTTGGCATTTTTTTGTCTTCTTTTGTTGTTTAAATTACGTTTTAAAAAAACATTTAGACTACATTTTTTCATTGCTTTTTTTTACGTCAATTTCTTTTTCCGTTAAAACTTTCTCCTCATTTTTGTTGCTCTGTTGTTTAAGTGCATTTTTTACAAAAAAATCATTTTTCACCCAAAACTATGTAGCTTCTATTTTTTTAGGCATGCACATACAGAAACTCATCTTCTTGGTCTATAGAGAGCCTTTTTTTTCTTTGCATTTTTTTCTGAACTCATTTTGTGATTTTTTCCATTGCGTTAAAATCAAATTAAAAAACTTCAATTTTTCTTTTGAATACCAAATTTTATATTAAAGTTTTACTTCAGATTTAAAAACCCACATCATTTTTTTCAGATTTCAATTCTCATATAATTTCTTTCACATTTCAATACTCATATCTTATAATATCTCCAAAACTCATAAAATGGGCCCTTAGACTCTTAGGCCTAAATTAACATATCGATGGAAAGCACCTAAAACCCCTTGCGGCGAGTCCATTATTTCTCAGGTTATCATTCAAACTTCATGGTGGAAACGTGCACGTTATGAACCTAGATTAGTGATGGTGAAATCTTAATTACTGCTTTGACATCTATCACCCTTTTGGCAGTTATGTATCTCTAATCATTAGGTTCATAGGGTGAACCCTACTTCAATCAATTTTGGCTCTAAATAATCTTCTCTGATTTAGGTTTGCAACACTTCTGGACCGATGTCTTAATTCAATTAAAAAGGGAACTTCAAAGGAAATAGCATTGGCATCCCGTTTTATTGGTAAGTACTCCAGGGAAATATGTTACTCCCTCCATTCCTTATTACTCCTTGCTATTCTTTCTATGGTTGTTCCCAATTAGTGTCCGCCTTTCGTTTTTGGAAATTGTCTCCATTTCACATCAGCTTTTCCACGAACTTTTTTCTCTAACTATTTCATCATTTCTTAGCATTTCTCTCTCCTCAATGAATAACTTCATACATATTTATTCAATTTAAACCCACTTTTTATTCATTCTTAATCTACTTGCAAGTCAAACTACGAACCAAAATTACGAGGGAGTAAATGCTTCTTATTGGCTTTTGGTATTGTCTTCCAATTGCTGATGTTCATTTTGACATTTTCATTTTTTCACTATAGGACTATTGGCTTTAACTACTGGCTGTGGGGATAGAGCACGAGAGATATTGGAAGAGTTGGTATGTCCTATTTCAGAAGCTATCAAATCTCCTGTTGATTCTCTTAAGATACAAGCGGTATGTAATTGTTTGACCTTTTATGTTAGTTGATGTTTGAATAGAATTAGTTGACCACGAAGCTTCTTGGCTCATTTCAGCTAGTGGACTGTTTGGCCATTATCACCTTTGTTGGGGGTGAAGCACCTGAAGAGACTAATAAGTCAATGGAATTGATGTGGCAAGTCATTCATCCAAAATTGGGTCCTAATGTACGTTTCTCATTCTTATTATGTTAAGGAAGTTTCTCTTTTCAGCTGACTTTTTTAGGAAATTCGGACATCGAAAACTTGGTTTTAGAAAAAGTTATATATATTTACAATGACTATACAGAAGTATGATTATTACACAAGTTAAATGTTGCAAATAAATAATTATTGGAAATATATAAGTATGTAATTATTTATTGGAAAAATCACTTCAATACTCTCATATTGGCTGTTTATACAAAATTACTCCTGAGTTCTCTTTTACACACAATACTCCATGAAATCAACAGATCTTACATTCGGACTTAATTACGTGGGTTATTTTGGTTGACATGACATTGAAAGTATTGAGTTGGCAAGGAAACTAAACATAATTAAATTGGACACCATTTGGACTTTTTTGAATAACTTATTAAAGGAAACCTGATTGGACGTGTGAAATCGTTTGGATTCAAAAAAAATATTAACCTTTTTTAAGTTATTTAAAAAATCCAAGGTGTCTAATGTAATTTTATCTTTAGATCTGCTGCCAACTCCTAGTTCCATATGTCATGTCAGCCAAAATACTTTCACGTAAGTATGAAGCTGACTGAGCTCGCTGGAGTAGCGATGTGAAATCTGGTGATTTCTCAAAGAGTTGGCGTGCAAAATAGAATATGGGAGTAATATTGTACAATCGGCCAAATCTAAGAGTACTGGCATAAATTTTTCCCAATTTATATATTCTTTCACTTCAATTTTTCTATTTTACTCCCCTGGAATTGTGTTATACTCTTATCCATAGCTATCTCTACTTGTTTATTTTCGTTAGTATTCAAATCTAGTGACCAATTGTAATTGTTCAAATTTCTTTTTTATTAAGTACATTCATGATATTTTTTAGAATGAACATAATGAAATGGTACAAAATAAGAAGGTATTAAAGAAAAACTTTATAGAACTTTAGTAAGATAAATAATACTCCATCCGTCCCATAGTATTTGTCCATACTTTGTTTTTTTTTCGAGTCAAACTTGACGAACTTTAATCGTCTACGTATTGAATTTGTGTTATATATGATACAATAAAATAAATTTCTAGTTTTTCACAACATAAAACTGATAAAATAATATTTGCACTAATTTGCAATACAATTTTTATTTAATTGATGATTAAAGTGTGTCTAGTTTGACTCAAAAAGTTAAATTGGACAAATATTCAATAGAGGTAGTATTTTTTATACCCAGCCCTGACTTTTCAAAATCTTATTTCAGGTAGAAGTAATTATTGCCTTTTCTCTATAATTTTCTTGGTTAAATCTGTAAGTTGTGAAGGAAAAGTGGAAGGAAAAGAAAATGAATAGGTTAAGAGGAGGGAAAACAAAATTTCTCCCATTTTGGTGAGGAAAATGAGAGAAAATCATTTTCTTTTCTTTTTCTTCCAAATTCCATGAACCAAACATAGTGTTAAGGTCTTAGTTATCATGTTTCATAAGAGTTAGCTCTATTACATTGCGTCTTTAAGAATAACATTATCACTACACATTGGAAAGACTATCTTATTCCATAATTCACATTGCCTCAATAGAAAATGGACCTTTTGATTAACTGCTTTAAATCCTATTGATGGACAAGCAGACAAGCCTCAATCTGATAGTCTCAAATAAAGAAAACTTTGACTGCGTAAAAGTGCAATGGAAGACCATATCCTTGTTGTAATATACTATCTTTGTCTCTATTTCACTTGCACTATAAACTGTTTTATTATTATTTTTTAATCAATAAATTAGCCAAATCATCTATTGTTTTTATAAAACTTTTGGTGCTTTTAAATATATAAATTGCTTATTTTATACCAATATCTAAATCGATTAAATTGAAAATAACTTTGGTCAAACATCATAGAAAACAAAAGTTTATTCAGGAACAGAGAGGGTAGTCTATTTGATTTTGTCTGTGTTTGATTACTTGATCCACCAGCCTAGAGGATATTAACATTATCACTAATCTTTGAATCACTATACCGTATAACTATCTTTTACTCTATGAACTATGATGCTCCTGCCCAATGGAGTTGAAAGAGTCATGTTTGGCAATGTTTTAGTTCGGCCACATAATTGACTAAATCAAAATGACACATTAATCTTCCATTGCTTCTTACTCTATATGAAGTTTGGTCAGTGTTGCAGCAATGCATCTAAGACTCTAGGGTCTAATAGAAATAGCTAGTCTCTCTGTTTTTATTGGGGTAAGACTGTGTTAAGATTATACTGGGTTGTTATTATTCTATGATACAAGTACTATTTTATTGATTAGAAGTATATCATTAATATAAAAATGTCCCCGAACAATCCAAAGTCAACTTTTTTGCTTTGTATATCAGGTTTCTTCTGCCAAACCTTCATCCCCAATTATAACGGCAGTAGTGTCTGCATGGTCTCTCCTCATCACTAGCATGGATGGATGGAAACTTGATTCCAAATGTTTGCAAGAGTGAGTATGAGATTCAGGAGTCATATGACTACACACACACAGACACACACACACACACACAGACACAAACACACACATATATGGCGTGTAATAAAACTACAACCACATGACTTCAGGTGCATTGCTCACTTCTCCACTCTGCTAGACAAAGATGATAGATCTGTAAGGATTGCAGTTGGGGAAGCACTTGCTTTGATTGCTGAACTAGGGATGCTGGAAAATATTGCTGATGAAGCTAATAAATCTAGTGACATCTATATAGATGAAGGGAAGAAATCCAGAGAATTAGCACATCTTCACGGATTAAGATCTAAAGTTTTGAATCAAGTCAGAAGCCTTTCAATAGAGGCGGGAGGCAAGGGGTCTGCCAAGAAAGATCTAAACAGTCAAAGAAACACGTTTCAGAATGTTCAGGAGTTTCTTGAGGTAAAATTTGTTGTTATTCAAATGATATTACAGTTCTATTTATCTTTACTACCGTTGTTATACTTCACACCGTGCAAAATATTCCTCTGCAGTATGGATGTAGTCCACAGACATCTATGAAGATTGGTGGAGACTCATTAGAAACTACTACATGGAGTGAACTCATCCAGGTAATTTTTGTCTCTTTAATTCTTTTACTGTTATTTCGGTGTTATCTACTCCTCACATGACTAAAAGAAATTCATTTTTACAGCTGAAGTTCATAAAACGTTTCCTTGGGGGTGGATTTGTTAAGCACATGCAGGTCTGTTTTTCGTGTAGTTTTCATTTATTGAAGAGCCTCATTTAATGTTGTGAACTATTAATCCCCTTTGTTATTTTCTGTTGATGTATGCCCAGGAGAATGAATTTCTTCAAGACGTTTTCAGTTTTACACCAAAGAAACAAATGTTTCCTGGTGCTGTACGTCGCATTACTCAAACTGAAAAGGTTGCTTGTGTACTTCCCCCTACTTGAAAAATGAAAAGTTTCTGCCATCACCTTACTCAGCAGAGTAAATTTTCATTATTGCAGAGGCTATGTAAGTCACCAAACTCGGTCCTTAACAAGGCAAGAACTCGGTATCTGAACCAGCAAAGGATGCTATCTCAGGCAAGTATCCCCTTTTCCTGAACTTCAATCCAATGTTTTCTGCAAACAGTTCTCTGTGAGCTCTACTGTTTATCCATTCTACAGGACAGAGATGTTGGTCACTACACAGCTGGTGGTGGAGATGAAGCCTGAATGACTTGAGAGCTTCTATGGGGCTTGTGGCTAGCCAAACCTGTAAGGGGCCATAATATTATAATTCATATAGGAAGATGGTGATAAAGGGGTAGCCATCAACTGTGTGTAGCCATTTGTTGTTGTAAGTTTATAAATTTTATCATTACATAACTACTAAGAACCTCGAGTAATAAATTCTTATTTCTTTAAAGTTTTCATCCTTTGTATGTCTTCATTGTCATGTCTTCTCCATTGTCTTGAGCAATGAGGCTAAAAAATCTTTTGCAAAGTGCAAGTACGACATTGTTTCATGATTGTAAATTTAGAGTGGTCTATAGCATTTAAGTTATGGTTGGCTGGACAAATATGCAATTCGTGCTGTCGGGGTGCAACAACCGAGTATAAGCCTACAAAAGCAGGGCTCGGACTCTGGAGGGGGTGTCTACGTAGTACAAAAATCAAGTAGCACGACAAGAGGACAGAGTAAACTAAGTGTGAGAAAAAAAATGACAAGGCATAAGGTACATAGAAAATTGAAAGAAGAAACACGTTAAGACAACACAACATGAACAAAACTAACAACCTAGACTAAATAGCTATCTAACTATCCTAATCCTAGATCTCCAAATGTCCTTATATAAGGTCATATCTTCGGTAAGAGTCAGGTGATCTAAGTCCTGCCTATTCACCCCTTTCCAAGTTTTCTTAGGTCTACCCCTATTTCTAAACTCACCAACTATCGAAAGCCTCTTACATCTTCGCCTTAGGGCTTTAGGTGCACGCCTTTTTACATGATCAAACTATCTCAATATAACCTCTCGTAGCTTATCCTCCATCGGTGCTACTTCCACCTATCTTTGAATAACTTCATCCCAAATCTGCATTTCTGCTGTATGCAATTGATGAATGTGGACTTTTTAATCGGCCAACACTTCGCACCATAAAGCATTGCTGGTCTAATCACAGGCTTATCAAACCTTCCTTTCATTCTTTTTGAAATCTTTTTATCGTAAGAACTCCCAATGCCAACTACCATACCGCCCACACAGCTCTTATACCGTGACTACCATCCCCATCAACTTCTCCATCCGCCCGAATAATCGAACCAAGACATTGAAATGTAACTCACTTAGGCACTAGGTGTGAGCCAGGGCCGGTCCTGAGGATTCATCAGCCTGGGCCGAAACACAAAAAAGGCCCTAATAGTCTTAGCTTTAATGGTCTAAAAAATTCACATATGTAAACTAATTATATTTAAATTATAATTAATGCAATATTATTAGAAGAAAAAAATAAATGATAAAATTATAGTATTATAATTACATACCGTAAAAGCTTGCCGAGGATTCGAGAAGTTCTCCTTGCATTCTTGAGAGCAAATTGGTTGATCACATCTTCAGAGTCTATGCTCTCTAAAAGTTCATTCTCGATAGCTATTATCACCAATCCACTAAGTCTGAATTGTAGATGCTCTTGCTCTTCCATCCCTTTTACTTCTACTTCTTCGTCTTCAGCAACAGGTTTCATAAACTTATATAGAGCTCCGGCTTGAGACTTTCTCATTTCTTCATCTCGTTTTCTCTTTTTTCTTTTTTGACTACCGGATAATTGTTTAGGAGCCATAACTATTGAATTATTTCTGAAATAAAATCAAAAATCATAAATTCTACTAAGTAAAATCAAGAATAAAAAACTGCAAAAAGCAATCAAATAAATAAATAAATATATCATAATTAATATCAATTCGTCAATTTTTCTTATTTAATTGTTTTTTTCTTTTTCAGTTTTAATTTTTTTTATAAATCATAAATTCATATCAATTAATCAATTAATCAAGTTTTAATTTTTTTTCTGTTTTCAGTTTTTTTAAATATAAATATATAATTATCATAAATAACAAATTCAAATCAATTCATCCAAATCAAATAAATAACATATAGAACCATTCATTCATTCTATTTCAAAGAATGAAATTAGAAAAGATTTCTAATTAAAAACTAATAGTTAACCCTAGATTTTAAATCTAAAAAATGAAACAATGAAAGAAAATTAAGATTTAAGAAATAAAAACTACAAAATTGGGAAGGGAAGGGTGGAAGGCTATGAATTACCTGGAGGGTGGAGGGACTCAGGGACTGGAGGCGTGCAGGTCGGCGATTGGCGGTGGAGGCGGCGAGTCTCGGCTCTCGCGTTTCTGCCTTTGGTTTCTTCGATCGGCAACGAGAAGCTGGACTCCTTTCTTCCGTATCGTTTTTTTTGGTCTACAACATACGCATGGAGTGGGCTAAGTTAAGGGATGGGTCATGGGATTGGGCCTGGGCTTATATATACACCAATCCCATTCCATACTGGCCCAATCCACTCTCTTGTGCATTGAGCCATTTATTATTGTTTGATGGGTCCGGATACCCACCCATCATAAGTCCCCGAGTTTCTTGGCGACACGTCGCTAAGGAACTACTGTTGTGCCACCCTTGGTCCGAGTGCTGGGTCGGAAACAAATACATTTCCCACTTCCATTCTTGAGTTGTGACACTTGAATACCCGCTCCAACTCGCTAACCCAGTCAGGCATTTGAAATATTCCGGATTTGTCCCCAATTTCTTTTGCAAATCCCCCACTCTTCCACTTTGGTTTTCCGCAATATGGCCCAACCCATCAAAATCGCTCACCAAAAACTCGGCCCCTCCAAGATCAAAAGCTCTGAGCTTGCCCTCATGCGGGATCTCTTGGGGGTGCCCGTTGAGATCCATCATCCGGATGCCGTTGGTGGAATTTCACTTATCCAATCTCCAGCACCGGAGCATTTTATGGTGATGCATTATGATTCAGTTCTTCACGTCTTCAGACTTTCCCTCCACCCCTTCATCCGCGAGGTGTGCAGATATTGGGATCTTCTCCGTAAGCAATTCACAGCCAATGCGTACAAATATCTGACATCCTACATCTTGTGCTGTCATGACAAGCGTAGGACCCCTTCTATGAAGGATTTCATGCAGTTCTACAGACTCGGAGGTAATTTCCCCTTCTTCAGCTAATATCCCAATAAGAAATACATTCTTTTTGCCAAGGTCGAGCTGTATATTAAGGACTGGGAAGACAAGTTCTTTGTGATTGAGGCTCCCTGCTAACCTTCCCTTTGATCTTCCAAGTGAGCCTCGTAGGACCAAACTCCCCCGGACCCCCTTTTCCAACGGTTCACAGGCAAAGAGAGCCTTTGAGGATATGAGGGATACTGCCCTTATCAATCATTAGCGCCTTCAAACCCCTGAGCTGTTCAGGCAAGCTGGGTTTTACTTCAGGGCCGATTGTCCCATCATTTTTGCTAGGTCAGCCAACCCATCTCCTCTGACTCTCTTAGAATCCCACTACTTTTAAGCGGTTGAACCCTTGCCTTCTGATGTTGGAGATCTTGTGGTCAAGCCTGTTAATCTTCTTGTTGTTCCTCGGCTCTAGATACATCATCTCCTATTCTGGTCTTCTAGAAACCATCCACCACGCAGAAGCGCAAACATCTTGACACTTCTGCCCTGTTGCAACTCAAGAAGGAGAAAGGTTCCCCTCTTAAGGTTGTTTCCCGGGTATCCACAACTATTCCTACCCCTACCGTCCCATAGGTAGTTTGAAGTCCTCCTCCATCGAGTTCATCTTCTTAGGATAAAAACTCAGCAGCCTAGATGGAAGGTGAGGCTCAAGCATCCCGGGAAGATCGCCAATTTGAGGGTGTTGACGAAGCCACTGCATCTGTCGAGCAGCCCCCTGTTATCGTTCTTCCCGGATCTCCACCAAAGGTCCCTACCAGTACGACAAAGCCCCCGAGTGATCATGCTCATTGATGGGATTAACCCGATCAGATGGCGGACCAAGAACATAATGTGAATCAGAAAGATATAATCTCGCAGTAATATTCTTTGATTAAGTGCAAAATCGCTTGAGTCGTCCCCCCACAATGGCGGGTTCTTTTCCCTTTCATAGTACTTCTAACATTGTAATTAAAATTACACATAATGGGAGGGATTATGGAGATCATGGGGTTGTGATTCCCTCTTTTCCGGTCTCGTTCTCTCCCCATCTCGTCCATAATCTGGTGGTGTGGGCCACATGTCCCGCTCCTTCTCCGGACTGGGTCGTCTTGATTTAATCTATGATTGGGCCGTCCCTTTCCCATCCGCCTTGCGTGTAGTAGCGGGCTCGGCCCGTTACCCCCACCTTGCCTTATCCATATTATGCTATTATGGGCCTTTATTGGGCCTGGAGTCGGGTCCATCAGACCCGATATCCATCACAAGCCCCCTAGTTTCTGGCGACGTGTCGCTAGAAAACTAATGATGAGCCGCCTTCGGGTTTCGTGTCGGATTAGAAACGTCGCACTTCCAGTGCCTTGGGTCCCTTTTTTCAACGGATATAACCCCTTCCGGACTCGTCTTCTTCCTCCTTCGCTATCGGATTTCAACCCGACCCGAATTCCGATTGCGATTTCCCCCAAATTCTCGCTCCCTCCTCCGAAATGGCTCCTCTAGATCCCGCAACTTGGACCCATGAATCCTCTATCATCAATGAGGATGAACTTCGTGAAGTGGCCGAGCTTCTAGGTAGAGGCTTCCGGGTCCACCATCCCGATGCTGTCGGAGGTATTAGCTTATCTCATAACCCAAACCCCAGAAGTATATGGTCATGCACTACCACTCCGTGAAGAATGGGTTCAGATTGCCCCTCCACGGTTTGGTTCGCGACATCTGCCACCATTTTGAATTCGTCCTTGGTCAGTTGACTGCATATGCGCACAAGTATGTCGCGTCCTACATCTTGCGATGCTGTGCGCTGGATAGAACCCCAACGCTGGGACGAATTCCTCGTCCTTTCAGTATCGGCGGTCCTTTTCCCTACTACAGTCTATTTCCTCATCCCCAATCTCCAATTTTTGAGAGGGTTAAGTTAAAAATCGACAAGTGGGCACGCCGCTATTTCGTCATCGAGTTTCCAGTCCACAACCCTATAGATTTTCCGGGCACTGTACGCCGTAGCTGTAACGCCCCGAAATCTGGCCCAAAAGAATTAATTAAATTCGTTAGAGCAATTGATTACGAATTGGGCCTAAAAAGGGGTTAAAATTATAATTTGGATTCTAAGCCCAACTTTTATGTCATCTCGTAGGAAATATTTTTGTGATCACGTCAGTTCAAACGGCTCGCGAATCGGAGTTATGGAGCTCATGTTATGACCATTTAATCAGGTATTTTGGGTCCGAAGCCCAATCCTTTTAGGAATGGGATCATTAAATAAACTTAAAACCCTAATTTTATCTACTTACGCGTGTTCATACGGAGACCTTACGCGTCTCATCCTCCCCTGCCGTTCGACCACGCCGGCGTCGCGCGAGCCAGACCTCCGCCTCCTTGGCGCACCAGCTAAACTCTGTCAATCGCTCACCGCCAGGATCAGCGCCGCCGACCACAGTTCTCAATCTTCGAGCTGCGGTCGTCGCCTCCACTACCGGCGTCTGTCGTCCTCGCCGTCGAGTTGCAGCGCCGCCAATCGCCTCCAGCCAACCTCGCTCAGTCGCTGCGCAATCCAACACCACGTCGCCACTCCAGGTTAGCCCTCATCCCATCTCCATCTTCCTCGCAATTTCCTCTGCAATTGGATCTCTAGAGCAGCGCCACGCCGGGTCGCCACCTTCGCCGGCGGTCGCTGCGACTCACCGGACTAATACATCGCCGAT